TGGACACAGACCGGTGAAGAACCAGGAGCAGAACCATCTGTGGACAGAGACACAGGTGTGTGTTAGAACACAGGACCAGAACCATCAAGTCCTGAAAGGTGAAAGTTACCTGAGAGTCAGTGCAGCTGATCTCCCAGACTCCTCAGCTGCCAGGAGCGTGGCCCCTCCCCTCTGTGTCATCCCTCCTCTTAACCCTTACACTCCTTCTTCTGCACATTGTTCTCAGATGCCAGGAATTCCGTTCAGCTGACAGACAGGTGAGTGGCTGACCCCCACGCCCGCCCCCCTCGACCCCGGCCCCCACCCTGGTAGACGCAGCCGTGACAGTATCCCAGCCCGTCAGACTTCGGTCCAGTTCAGTTAATCTTTCACCTGGTGAAAGTGACGTTTGAGGAACCTTTACATAAACATGACAAACACCTGCTGCTGTGTGTACTTTACATTCTTCTCTGTGGACTGGTCCGTCCTGATTGGTGGCTTTCTGCAGCAGGAACACACACACACACACACACACACACACACACTGAGTTAGGGACGAATCCAACTGAAAACATTTTCCTCCTTTTCTCTCCCATAAACCCGTCTGTGGCCCTGACTGCCACCTCAGTTACCACCAGAGGAGGGCACTGTTAGGAGTACAGCATCAAAACACAGTCAGATGTTGAGTCTTTGAGGATGTGAGAACGTTTCTGTTTATATTTGACAGATATGTGATCAATACAACGACTGAGTTTAAAACACAACAGAAACACAACAGAGACTGAAGCACCGGAGACCCGGGTCGTCGGTCTGAAACCTGTGGCTCTGGAGCCAGAAGACTGAAGATAAAATGAAGGTCGGGGGTGGGGGGGGTGCTGTCAGTCTCCCAGGCTTCTGTCTCACTGCTTTTTGCGCAGGTGGGCGTAGAGGGCTCCACTGAGCAGGAGCAGAGGGACACAGATCCAGGCCAGGATGAAGCAGTACCCAAAGTGTCCTCTGCTCTGGTCTCTGGAACCATCCAGGATCTCCTTCCTGTGGAAGGTGAAGATGAGGCAGGCGGCAAAGTCCGTGAAACCTGGAACGACGGACGGAGCGACGGACGCATGAACAGACAGACAGACAGAATCTGTTTTCTTCCACAAATTTATGTGCAAAAATACATTTTTTAAATGTCATTTTTTATCGTCAGATTTTAGGCTTTAAGATGAAGGAAAAAACAAATCTTTAAATACCGTCCGCTCTGTTCAACACAACATGTGTTTATGGGTTTTTTTATTTTTACAAACGTTATTTCAACACAGAGATGATGCTCGGAGGAAGAATCTTCTAGAATACCTGCAAAGCCCTGACAGAGGCCTGTGAAGTAGAAAAGCCCCCCAGTGGACAGAGTGAAGAGCTGCATCATGAAGACCAGGAAGGAGATGGACGAGAAGACCACAGACAGAACCATGAGAGCCTGGACGGACTGGAGCCAGTCTGAGGGACAGGGACAGGCTGCAGTCAACAGACACACACAAACAGACCGGACCGGACCGGACCGGACCGGACCGGAGTCTCTGCTCTGTTCATTTACCACTTTCACTGGTAGCAGCACACAGCCAGGTGTCGGAGGAGTTGTCGTGGAAACAGTTGTACCAGAGGTCGGTGATCTCCGAGTCGGCCCACACCCACCAGGACTGCAAACAGTGACACCTACTGTTAGAAAACAGGAAACTCTACAGGTGGTTGTACACGCGTGTCCCACCTTCTCCAGAGTAGAGATGAGGAGCATGGCCAAGGTGACCAGGTGAAGGACGGTCACTGACACCAGCAGACAGACCATGGCTGATGGTAGAAGAAGAAACAATCACCTGTCAATCACCTGTCAATCACCTGTCAATCACCTGTCAATCACTGTGAGTACACGGTGGTGATACTGAGACAGAGTACTGGTATTTTCATTTGTGTACTTACTGAGACTCTAAGTCTGGTCTGGGGGCCAGTTGTGGTACACTGACTCCAGTCTACATCTGGTTTGTGTCACGTGACCCAAAAGCATCTGTGTTTTAGTGACCAGACTTGGACCGAGGTCAGCTGAAGCCTGAGGTTCTTCACCGTGAACGTTCCTTCAAACTGTTTTTTTTTTGTCATGAAGGAAAAAAAAGGCTAAAAAGCCGTGACCGTGGTGGTCTTACCGTCAGAGTGTCGGAGTCGCCTCAGATCTTCTTCTCTCGTCTGTTGCCGTTCTTCTTTCCTCCCAGACGTTTCAGCTCCTAATCTTGAAGTGAAGGATACAGAGAGAAGGAATGTGGAGTCAGATAGAGGAGGAGCTGCCAACAATCATTTCCTCTAAACATTTCCAGCGCCCTCCCCCTCAGAACTGTGGTCAGGACCCGGTCAACAGCCAGAACAGAACATTCCTCAGAAACACAGCAGCAGACGTGGAGCAGAGACCCAGATACCCCCAAGATACCCCCAAGATACCCCCCAGAT